CAAAAAAATTGATTTCCAAATAAATATAAAAACTAACAAAATATGTTTAGTTTCGTTTTAGATTCTGAACGGAGTGATAAATGTATTGATTTTAGAATAATGTGTTTTTAAGTTAAATTGTTTGTGTCTATGTATAGAATAATATGATTTTTTTTAAATTTTCAACTCCACTATCTTTTCCGATGTGAATTTAAAATCACCAGTAGTCTCCAAAAGCACTAGGAAAAACAAAATTTGACAAAATCGATTTTGGTTTTTGGTATAACTCTAAAAAAATTTACCGCAGATACATGTAATTTTCACCGAAGCTTTAAATTAAAATCTTATATACACCATAAAATGTTCAAAATATATAAACTGATGTTGAGTTATTTAGAGACTTATGAAATTCTCGATCATTATAAGTTTTTTTATTTAATTAATGTTGATAAAAAAATTATTGTTTGGTCAACAACTCGAGCATGTAATACAAAGTTTCTCGTAAGTTATCATTCGAGAAAATTAAAAAAAAAGTTAAGTATAATTTCACAGAAATTGTTCATGTCCATCTGAAGTTCTAATTTGTTTAAACATTGGATATTCACTTTTCTTTTCTTTGTCTACACTTAGTTTTTCAACATTTTTATTTCTACGTGTAGAACAAATAGATTTGTAAAACGTTCTTGATGCATAGAACTTCTTACAAAAATCCTTAGAGTAGCTGAAAAAATCACTTTTATGTTGGGCTTGAATTATGAAAAAAAATTTCGTTTTACGTTATTTAGTATCAAACCGTTAAACAATTTTTGTGTTAAACGTTACTTAAAATTAAAACGTTATACATTTTTTATGTTTATTGTTATTGGCAGTATAAACGTTATTATATTTTTACGTTTATCGTTATTGGAAATTTAAACGTTTTCATTTTTACATTCAAATTTTTAACACCATTAAAAATTAAAACATGATGTTGTACCTATTACATTTTCACAATTAAAATAATATTATAAAAGATGATTTATAATTGTAAATATAAAAGTTCAATATTACGTCTATTGCAGATGTTTAATATTAATTTAATTTAAACATAAAACCAGAAGTATATACCAAATTCTACACGTTACAGCTGTGTGGTCCACTAAATTCAAATTTTTAAGTAGGTACTGCATGTAATTTTGTTATTTACGTAATTTTCAGAAACAATACATGTGCGATGTAGCTATGTAGGGCACTCTTAACTAAAAAACGAAGACAAAAATTATAAATTCCATTTTGGCAAACTGACAAAGAAATGCCCATATTTTTATATTTTAAATTATAACATAAGAAATCACTTTGTCATTAGGTCGTTATTTTGATATCTAACAGGAAAAATGACACAAAACTTAAGTTGTAGAACTTTGACAAAATTGATACATATAATTGACACAGTTTTGGTAAAATACTGTGTATATAAGTAATTATAGTTTAAGTGCCGTTTTTAAAAAAAAAGGAAAGCTTAAAATCCTATAAACTGTATGTTAATCAATAACTATGTATAAAAAAAGCTTGATATCATAATACATTAATATAATCAATAAAAAAAAGTAATGTTGCTCCACGTAGAATAGCATGGGTATATTAATAGTATATCTTACTCATAATCTTAGTTGCTTATAGTAAAGTTAATACTTTTATAGCTATGAATTATGATTCTAACTATTATTCTGATTGGTTCCTGAAATGTGGAGTAACTATTTCTGTTATTTTTAACATTTATTTTCCATTATTTTTTAAATTGATGACTTTCGATTTCACTGATTTCCTAGTATAAATGAACATGTTACGTTATACCTGTATATTCACACAATATAACCTGGCTCAAATTTAAAAATAAATTTAAACCATAGAATGCCATAAGCTATTTGTGGAATTCAATCTTATTGAAATCGCCTATAACGCCAATGTTCATTATAATAATATAATATTATTAAATATTAATTAATTAATATTATAAACGTAATACGTAAAAATTATGAAATTTTTTGTGTTTTCTGTTAAGTTTCGTCTTATGATTTTTTAAGTTATTATTGGTTTATCGTTTTGTTTTGTTTTTTGTTTTACTAAAATGGTCGTTTATTGCTACTTTTTGTTACATGATAATTTAATATTACCTACTGTTTACCGTTTACCGTTTTGTTTTCTGTTATCTATTTCAATCGTTTTTTTACTAGTATAACGTTATAATCATAACGTTATGTAAACGTTTTCGATCCCTGCTTTTATGTTGCAGAGCTAACTGGTAAAGTAAGTAGGTACTACTGTCTACATGTAACATTTTATATACATTTATAAAAATTTATTTTATTGTTTTTTTTTCAAATTATCAATATTCAAATCATTTGTGATTTTATTTAAGCGATTCTAGCAACAGTCATTTCTGATTTAATATTTAGTTTGTTAATATCCAATAAATCCTAAAATATAAAATAATAAAATATTATGGTTGTATTAATGTTACTCTATAGTTTGTACATTGTTTAGATCTACTTTAAAATATCTATTGTTAATATATATAGAAATACTAGAGTAATTTATGTAAATAAGTTTCAAAAGTACCTATAATAAATATTACCTTATAATCATAAATAAATACTTATGCTTTATAATGAAGTTGCATGAATTTGTCAACAGTAATGAAATTAAACTATCTAGGAAAATCTCTTTTTTCAAATTTTTAGTAATGGAGTATAATACTTATCTTGTAATAAATTTTTTTTTATAATCATTAACAAAAAGAGTAGAATCAACTGGTTTAGATACACTACTTGTTGTAGTAGTTACTATAAAATCATTAGGAGGTTAGGCTCTCTTCTCTTTCTCTTAGAATCTAAATAGATGTTTTTAAGAATAACATTAATAATTAATATTAAACTATTATGAATGGGTACTTCATTAAATTGATATAAATTGATATATACATCTTCATATAAAATATAAGAGTTTATATTTTTAAAATAAGCAAATGCATAATAATATATTGAAGCAGGCTAGCGGGTAATGCTCTGCTGTATAGTAGATTACAAGTGAATCACTGTAATGGGTGGTGATAGTTTCATTCCCAAAGATCTATTGTTATTTAGAAACAAATAAACACATTCATATAGCAGGTCAATTAAAATATATAATCTATCAATTCCATTAAAATTCAATGTTCATACCAGTTTTTAATATTCATTAATTTTATGACAGTACCTCTATATGTTCATTTAATTCTGAATTGTTGCCAAGTGTACTTTCCTTCAAGTATAACATAATAAAATAATCATTAGCAAATATTAAAAGTAAAGAAAAAATGAAATTAAAACACTGTTCAAGGTGAATAAGTGGATGAATGAGTTCAACAGATAAATTAACTAATATGTTTTGAAAAACTAACATATCTATAGTTTTCGTAAATGACTAACAAATATCAGTTTAAGGAATAATTTAAATGTACCTATTACCATCATTTGGGCAACTAATAAGGAACCATTTACTTGATAAGTATGTACGTAATTATTCTAATACAATTAATATTTTTGATGATTTTATGATTATATCACTTTATTATACAATTTATATTTCCAAATAAAAAAGTGTATCAACAAGAAAATTATTCATGAATTATTAAGTTTAAATAAAAACCTGATTATAAATTGATGTAGTTTTTGAAAGGCACCTTTTAGTAACTAAAATTTAGTACAAGGGCCAAGAGAGATTAATATAATGTGAGAGTGATGTGAATTTCACAGCGAGACTTATTGTACAGTTGTTTTCAAATTCGGCCTCTAAAGTAATTGCTTATTAAGTTGTAAAAAAGTATATAGATGTGGGTAAGCACTCTGTATATAGGTGGGTGCAGACCAAATTGTTTTACTAATAAATGTCCTGAACTTAATTGAATTAACTACCTACATTTCTAAAGGCAGCTTAATGACTCCTATCACACTATTTCAGGTTCTAAAAATATTTGAAAAATATTCCAAACAAATGCACAGAGTACAGAGAACACTCATTGTCAAAAATACAAAAAAAAATTTGAAAAGAAACATACTGAAACCACACATGACAAATCTTAATACTCGAATAGATGTTATTTAGACATCCAGTGCTTCATTTGAAAATATACATATATTTGATTAACATTAACAATCAATACCAAAACAATTATTTTTTCAAACAAACAAATAAACAATGATATTTATCAATTCAATAGTAGAGGTAAGATCAAAAAAATAAAAATGTATGAAATAATATAACAAAACTATTACTCATTTTATCTGTCATGTCATTTTAGTATGACTACTGCTGGATTAGAGAAAGGATGAAACAATTCACAAAAATAATCTTGATACAATACTAAGAAATTTAAATCACACATAATGGAATGATTAGTATGTTACACAATATTGTCTTTTTGTCTTTTGTACAAAATCTGCAGATGGGCCATTTACAGAATTTACACAAGAGGTTGCAAATCACGTAATATAACTGGTGTTATTGTTGAATTTAAAACTTACTTTTCTATTACATTACATGAAATATCACTAGTTGTTTTAACGAAAAAATAAGAATAGTAATGTATTTTCAGGATATTTCAAACAAAATGCCTTTCTATTACCTATTATGTAACAAACAAAATTGTATATTTTGTTATTTAAATTATAGTTAGCAAGCGGTTTTAAGAACTGAATAATTAAACACAAACCTTATCTGGAACAATTACCATTTACCAATTTTACAATCACCACAATCGTGTAATCTCTAATCACAGTCAACAGTGAAATAGCCATGTTCTGTTATCATTGTTGCCGCTTGAAGGCCAGTAGTAGCTGTTTAAGTTATCACGAGAACCGGTAAGCACGCATCCTTGTTTTATGGTTGACGGGGTTGGCCGCACTGTTGCTGGCCTACACTCCACACCAGTGGGCGCGTCGTTCGTCAACAGCTCGCGTCGGCCACCATCGCGCGTCGGACCCTTTGGGCGTAGAGTCATTGTAGCGTCATTGTAGCGTAGAGCGCGGACGTCCTTCGTTGAGTCCAATCGTCTTGGTCGTTACCATTGGCTTGCCAACAGCTGTCTTTGAACATTGTCAGTAGTGTTTGTAGTGCCGATGTACCGTCCACGTCGTTTCTCGCGACTCGCTGCGATTGTGTTTTTTGTTGTTATTATCTAGTGTTTGTGTATTTATAAATAATTTTTCGTGTATATAAGTGAGTGTGTTTGACTATTGCTCACCTCCCCGTGTGTATTTTACTATTGTCCCCCTCCCGTGTGTGTGTTCGAGTGATGCGTCAGTGTCCGTTACGAAAGACTTGTTTCCGCTAGTGCGCTTTGAACGTTATCCGGTAAATACGTGCACCGGTCATTCGCCCACCCATCCGTCTGCCTTTGAAGGTAAGCAATCAAATTCTTTGTTTTGATATTATGTATTATTGTTATTGTTATGATGTATTTTAAAATAATATCGTCAATCATCATTCCAACACCGATGATCGGCCGTTTGTCCACCACAATAATTTCATAGTATAATATTAAGTTGTTATTTATTTTGAAATAAATTAAAATTTAAAATAAAATTATTAAAGTTTTTGATGACAATTTGAGATTCACGTTTCTTTGGATGTGCCTCGAGCTGTATTATTTTATAATTATTGCCAGAACCGGAAACATTCATGGCAACGTAGTGTGAACTTAAAGGTGACAGGAGCACACCGTCTTTTTTTTGGGATTTTAGGTTGGGCCGGGGATAAGACCAATAAGCGGAATATTAGTTGACATACTTTCCGATTTATCATACCCTTTTTTAGGTTAAGTAAGAAATACATTTTTGATTTTTGTATTCAACAACGCTTCAAAAAAAGTTAACTTTTTCAGAAATGATGAAAGTATTTTTTTTACTTAAATATAAATATTACATACGTATATTTTTCTCAAAGCTGTGTTTTACCGATTTTAAAAACTGACAAATGTCAAAAACTAAGATAGATGATCTGTGCATGAGAGTGAGGGGGTGAGAGACTGTTCTTGGAATTTCATACTATCTATAAAAGGCGGAGACTGTTTCGACCCAAAATGTGGTCTGTTAGAGCGAATAGCATATATCAGCATAGATTATGCGAATGTTTATTCCTCAAAAAACACCATTATGTGAAGTATGAATAAGTTTACAGGTAAATTAGTTGATATATAGTACAGTAATGTACGGTGTCAATTGAAAAATAAAGCCACTTACAAAATATGTAATAAATAATAAATAATAGGCTCTTAACTTAAACATTTACAGGTATAGAAAATGTAATATACAGTCAACATAAATAACAATTTGCAATTAATAAGACAAATAAAATTCATTTACGATATTTCGAGATCCATGATAGAAATTAGAGAAAAGTAATAATTAACTCTATTTTTAAAATCGTTCTCATCAAAATCTACAGGTTTGCATCTCACACAGGTAAAAACAATTTCAATCGCCTAAGCCAGCGGTTCCCAACGTTTTTAGCTGTGCGGACCACCAATTTTGTAAAAAATCTTTCAGGCCCACCAACAGCTCACCTATATACATGCATAAATATGTAAATATAATATACAAATTTCAGTTGTTAGAATTAAAAAGAATTAAAAAATCAATTGTTTATTATGAAAAACACTTTATTAAACTTAATCACAAGTCAAACAATTTAATGTGATTTTTGACATTACTTGCCCTTCATGAGAGAGTCAATATCGGGATGGAAATTGGATGGTTTTACAATTAAATCACGTTCAACATTCAGTTAATTCCTATATTTAGCGTTAATTAATAATTCGACACCAATTTGACATTACAGAGTGTAGATAATATTGATAAATATTATTATAACCAGAAATATTATTAGGTATGTACTAAAAATATGTAATAATATTATTTAAAATATATATATAATATTAAATATTATATATTTATATGGTTCACGGTCCAGTACCACACTGCTCGAGGCCCACAAGTGGGCCGCGGCCCATGAGTTGGGAACCGCTGGCTTAAACGGAATAAATGATAGTCGCCTTAACGGACTATTCATTTTTTGGTCAAAATTATTACCGTTGCCATTACGGCCATTATCTTGTTGATCAATAATGAGCGTATGTAGAAATGTTCACACTAATGTTCAATTACTACTCATACAATAACACAGTTAAAATGTACGTGTAATATGAATTGCCTAGTTATTATTTTTTAAAACCTGCTATTCTCCAACCCCCTTTCAAAAAACCGAATACCTACGCTTGATGATAGATGCGATCTAATTGCATCACGCGAAAAAAAGGTTGGTCCCAAATTCCATTTCTTATGAACAAAAATGTGACAACCTGTAATAGGTAATTACTAAAAGTTTTCCCAAACTCTTTTTCTCTAGTGTATATAAAATTAAATGCAACCCTGGGCAAATTAATGAAAACTTTTAATTGTGTTCAGTGAAGTTGATAGTATAACACATTTTTAAAAGTTGAAATTTAATAGTTATAAACATTTTTTTTTTACAAGTTAAAAATTATATTAAGCTTTACAATTTACTTATTATGATTTTTTTTAAATACATAAATAGCCAGTTATATGTTATAACGTAAAATGTAAAGTAAATGTATATGTATCATCAATAATAATTGCATCATATTTATCATTTAATTATTTGTAAACTAACATAACTTAGATTTGATTAGAAATAACTCACTCTGTTTAATTTTTATATCAATCAAAATTAGTTAAGTTAAGAATTAAGTTAATGAAAATTAAATTTTAAACAATAACGTTAAAAAGTTAAAATTAACTTAACTTAAATTTTTTCTTTATTTATGCCCTGGCTTGATTAAATGTAGTGTAATAAGAACCACTGATGATGAGTATGAGTCCACTGATTGTAATAGGTACTGATGATTACCACATTCAAAAAACAAATTTGATTTAAGTTACATTTCCTTTCCCACTTTGCAGATTCGGAATTGACAGTAACAATTCAGAATTTTTAATTTTATTTCTAAAAATTACATCATACAAAATAAATGAATATGTGATAGAAAAAAATTGATGTATATAAATCAGAAAGTATTAAATATATTAATACTAGAAGTTCGTTAGACCAAATCGGTGTAAAATTATTCCAACTATATCCTGAACCCGGATAATGTCCTATTATCCCATCCGTTTCCATTGTTTATCTTCAAGCGTATGTTTTACGGTTTCAAAGGTTTTTTTTCTTAATTCGTGTTCTCTTATCGTTAGCAACTCTCATAGTTCCTTACTGTTATCCGTTTAATTTTTATGTATTATTTATAATTGAGATTTGTGAGCCTAATTTATTTGTATAAACATAATTCAAAATAGTTAAGTAAGTAAATCAATATATAATCTACATATACTATAGGAAAATAAAACACAATATGTATTGCTTTTAATGAATAATATATACTTGGTCAATTCAAATTCATACTAATCATGTTTTTGGTTCTAATGACGTAAAAATCAACAATTTATTTAACAAAATATTTAGGTATCTATTGTATGAATAATTTTAAGATTTTGATTTTACAAAAAATGCTCAGATAATCAACTTTGAGGGAGGGTTGTAGTAGCAGTTGGTACTTAAGTGTGTCAAACGTAGACATTTTTCAGTACTATTCAAAATAATTTTAAACAATACATTTTTAAAATTTTAGCTCATATTATTAAATTAATTATTGATCTGAAAGTAGAATCTTTAATAAAGTACTCTATGATATAAAATGGGTTTAGCTCGAGCTTAGCAAATTATATATTTGAAACATCGAAAAAAATGTATCAAACAAAGTGAAATGACAGTGTTTTTTAAAAAAGGTCGTTAAAGATAAGTATTACAATATATTTATATTTAAATGTTTAGGGAATATTTAAGGGAGGCACAAGGGGCCCGTGCCCCCACCCCATTCATCATGTTTATACTTTTTTCTATAACTGTGAGTAGGAGAATCACAGACGTATTCGTCTATTATACCTTTAATAAAATTTGTTGCAACTTCCCCATGCAGCCAATGTATCACACTGAAGTTAGACTCCATATGCTATGTTGGGTTTGCTTACAAATGTTGTACTAACCCACAGTCCCACGAAACTAGGACGTTTTCCCTCTGTGCCACTCTCGTACTCCTAGAAAAAAATTAAAAGTAAAAATACTAAACAATAATATAAAATGCAAATCAATAAATTTACAATTGATTTAATTAATATTTAAATATACCGTATTCAATAATATGTTATAATAATACTATTGCCAATACAGAATTCAATATTATAAATATTAAAAATATTAAACAATGCTTAAATGACAAATGCAAATAAATAAATGTACTGTTTACGAGATGTTTACAAATTATAAGATTAATATTTAAATATAGTTCAATAATACTTTCACATAACCATGGTTTATCAATCACTACCTATAACTTGGGTAATGAATCTATAACGTGAATAATAGTCGATAAATGAGGATATGATGATTGTATATTTCTGGTAAAACTAAATAACCTATTTTCAAACATATTATTATGTCTAAAAAATTATATATTTTGATTCAATAGAGAAAAGTACAGTATCTCTAAAATCCATGTTGGGGGAGGCACGGGAGGGAACGTTTATACAGTATACATTCAATACCACAGTCATAATTCCAGATATTAAAATTTAAAATTCTCATCAGCCCACAACTCGGGTTATCCCATTAAAATGACACCATTCGGGCATTTTGTTGACCCCGTCTTACAAACGTAGAATATCGCAAATTTTACGTTAACAATAATACATTTTACTCCATAATTTATAAAATTATAATGAATTTACCTCTTTATAGTTTAAATGAATATATCTAGAGCATCTTGGACGATTTTTTTTCTTATTATTTTTAAGTAAGTTCTGACTATTTTTTAACTGTAAATTGCTTGCACATTTTAAAATGATCATAATTGCGATCAACAAATGACCGTATGGCGTCCTCTTAAGTGTAATGTAAATATTACCTATACTAAAAATGTAAAAACCCTCATTGATAAGAATTCGTCAGCCATATAGTAGTTGTATATACTCATGGTTTTAGCTAATGACTCAAAGGTAATTTTAACTTAAAGCCTGCATGTACATCTACTTGTAATAAATTATACTCTTAAATTAATATGCCAATAACGTTTTTTTTATAATTGCAGTTTTTTTATAGACATTTTAACTTCAAATTTGAACAATGTCTAAAAGAAGAATAACGATTTTAAAATTCTGTTTTTTTGGCAAAAATTTATTCAACCTACTAAGTACTAAGTACTACCTTACTTACTAAGTAAAATAAATTACTTTATAATCAATAATATCATAAAATATACTCCCATATTTCTTA